AAGAAACAGCTTACGTTATATTGTTAGTGACAACAATGAAGTAGTTCAAAGAACCATTAAAGAGTAATATATTTACGATTGTTGAACATTTGAGCTAGAAAATATCGAAGAAAAATTTAACAGATTAAAAAAAGTTGGTAGGTAAATGTCAAAGAAAAAGTAACAACTGTGCATCAGTTTATTGGTACAAGTGTCCCCCACTTAACCTATAAAATTTTGTTGAAAACACTTAACTTATCAAGTAATGTCGTATTATTTATTATGTTTTATGTCATACTAAAAAGTAAAATCTACAATGAAATATTTATTAAAAGCAAAACTTGTTTAAAAGGTATTTCATTTTATGTTACAACTTCAACCAGAAAAATCAAATTACGCCTTGACGATGGGTGATGGTAAGAAATTCAGCTTCGTATCATAATCATGTAATTTGAACAAATTTAATCATCAGTTTTACATAAAAGTTTAATTCATGCTTAGAAATATGTTTAAACTGTTGTATAGCTTACCTACTCAAACTTTTAGTTGACTACTAGAAAACAAATAAAATTTTAACTGATTTTTTTTTCTCATCAGTTTGATCTGATAAACGATATTCATCAGAATCTTTCGAAAAAATCATTTCCAACCAATTTTAGGACACGGATTTTATTAGAACCTGACTGTTTTCTTGTAATGTTCTTTTTGTCCACCTTGTAATAGTCATTAATACATAATATGCAAACGGACAAGCACATTATATATATATATATATATAATAATACTTAAACCCTAAACCCAAAATATTAGGTTGGGCTCCTCGTGACAAAACGAAAAGTGAGTAGATGAAAACTTTTGGCTCCCTAATTAGTAATTTCTAAGAGATAGTGTTTTAGACCCATTCATATTTTGAAAATTAAGAGTTAAAATAGTTGTACAAAAAATATATAGTTATGAATTTTTCCAGTTTAAAATAATTGTATAAGAGCATCCCTATCAGTGAACCCTTCTTTGGGGTTCATTTTTATTTTTTTATTATTAAATTTTTTTTTCTGTTTGATTTTTTTTAAGAGAAAAATATAGACGAATCGTGGGCCGTCACGTGTCATAGAGCCGCCACGTGTCGGAGATCCACGTTACAGTGATGAATCGGGTTCACTACAAAGAATCTGTAAGAGATAGATTCATTACTATTTATTATTTTAATATATTTTTTTTTTGAAAAATGTGTGAATCTTATATGAATCTTTGACGGGGGTACTCTACACGCAATGTTTTAGTTAAATGACATAGGGCTTGGGTCACTACAGCGAAAGAAAACGAGGAAGACCACTTCGATGACCCTAACAATCAATCCACGTCTTTTATTCACCTTTTATGTTCTTAGATGCATTTGATCATTATGGTCATTCATCATATCATGCAATCACATATAGTTTAGTGCACACGTATTACTTCAAACACGCAAACTCGATTTATCCATAATATGTATGACCTTTAACCAAAAAAAAAAAATATGTATGACCTCCAGAATTATTTAAAAATCTCCTTTAACGTTTTGTATATTTATTTCTTTGATATATTATGTTTTGTATATTTATTTCTTTTATATAGATATGATATGATAAGATTATTTTTAAAGTCTCTCAGTACAAGTCTAGACGCTTATCTCATCGAAGTCAATATAAAGCTATAGAGAGTGAAGCAGTTTTACTTTTTGAGGAAAGTGAAGCTATTCTTCTTCATTTTTTGAATAAGAAGAAGAAGTGAAGCTATTGTTTAGAAGGATAAAGGATGTTGACTGTTCACAAATCAATCGTTGACTTTGAATCAACATCATACCAATGATGCCGCTCCAAAGTAAGGGGTAATATCTATACAGTTTCCTTTTTCAAAACAAAGGAGTTATTTAAGATAATTTATGGACGTGAGTGTTCCATTAAAAAGAAAGAAGTAAGACGGAGATTTTATTTAATAAATTATTGGGTTTTTAACATAAAAACCTCTCAACTAAGTTTATTTTGGGTAAAAACCCCTAAACTAAGTATTTAATGAAAAAAACTCCAAACTAACTTTATTTAGTGAATTAAACCCTCGCCGGTCATAATTACCAGTACTACCGGTAAATCTTTAGTTTAGAAGTTTTATCATTAAACATAAAGATTAAAAAAAAAAGAAAAAAATCAAAATATAATAACATTATCTAAAAATTCGTAATTTTAATTTTCAAAACTAGCATTCTAAAAATTTCTGTAAATATATGAGTGATTTCTTATCCTTGTAAAATGGATTTTTAACTCTAAAATACCTTAACTAAGTTTGTTTTGGGTAAAAAACCCCAAACTAACAAGTAAGCCCCCATATTAAACATAGTTGAAGGGTTTTTATCATTAAAAATCTAAAAAAAAAATTATAACATTATCTAAAAATTAGTAACTTAAATTTTTAAAATTAGCATTTTGCAAACTTTCTGTAAATATATGAGTTTGATTTGTTTTAACATCAATATTATATATATAGATTAAAATTTTAAAACACCAAAATATAATAAAAAGCATCTAAAGATTTATTATTACATTTTTATTAAATAAGATATAATTTTTGTTCTGTTTTCCTGTTTTTATATTTACAAAATTTTGATAATTTTTATTACAGGTAAATCATTAGATAATTTTTCTTATATTTTCTTGGTTTTTACATTTTAAATTTATACATATATAATTTTGATTTTAAAAGGATAACAAATCAGACTCATATAGTTACAAATTTTTTTTTAAAATGCTAGTTTTTTAAATTAAAATTACAAATTTTTAGATAATGTTATTATATTTTGAATTTTATTGATTTTTATGTTTAATGATAAAACCTCTAAACTAAAGATTTACCGGCAGTACTGGTAATTATGACCGACGAGGGTTTAATTCACTAAATAAAGTTATTTTGGGGGTTTTTTCATTAAATACTTAGTTTAGGGGTTTTTACCCAAGACAAACTTAGTTGAAGGGTTTTTATGTTAAAAATTCTAAATTATTCACATGATGCTTTGTGTATATGCATATAAAATGTATATAACTCGGTATCGCTCACCAAGAAAGTTCTCCTTTGACAATGCAAAGATGCTGGAAGTAGATGTATAATGTTCACATTACTTTATGGGGAATTAGGAGAGATGACCATAACAATAAAAAAATTAAGTACATAACCATTATAAGACATGTGCTAACACACGTGCTTCTTTTTTTTTTAACACACGCGCTTCTTTTTTTTTTTATCACCAAAACTTATAGAACAGTTAAATTTCACGAACTTTGCAAAAAATCTTAATTTGCTATAAAAGCGGATGAATAAAAATAAAATCCGGTTAGATTGAAAAGCATAGGAACACGATTTCACATGATGTATAAGCATGAGATACAACAACTGATTATCTGATTATTCACTTTCATATATTTGAATGGCTTTACTTTTTGATACATGTAAATTAAGAAACAGAGGATACGCAGAGCTACTAGAGAAGATAAACACTAAATATTCGGTTGTACTATTCCATTTGATAAACATAGAATAAAAATGGTTTCTGAGTGTTATTGTTTATCCTTGCATGTACGATGATAATTGTACCTAATCTTCTATAGTTATTAAAACATAGTAAATCGAATCGTATATAAATTCACGAAGTTCAAAATAGAAACCAACCAATGGTAGTCGGTTAATAAGAAAGATTTGGGCTAAGACATAAACTCATTAGTTTTGAGTTCGAATTCCGTTATTAACTAAGTTGCTCCTTCGGTCAAGATGAAAATGAACCATGTCTTAGATTAGATCTCGTTAAAAGTTTCAGAACCAAATTAGTCGCCGGTACTTTTTGTATTGGAAATTAGTTGAGTTTTTGACTAGATATTCTCAAATTACACAAAAAGAAATTAATAGTGGAAGAAGGAAATGACAAAACATAGTGTGGTAGATAGAACTAGAGATATAAAACCATTTTTTGTTTCAGTAGCTTTCTTGCTGCTTAATTTGAAGTTGAAATTGTCAAACCTATATATCTTTTTCACACAAAAATATATTTTAACAATATTTACACCCATTAAAGTCTTTTAAGATTATGACCCTTTTAAAACTTTTCAATTACTCCCTCTTGTGTTCTTTCAAACTTGTTTGATTTCACATTGTAGAAGAACTATATCTCCAAATTACATACCTTTTTTGGGAACAACGATTGTTGCATGGTAGTAAAAATACTGAAACCTATAAGTACACTTAAACCTATAAGTACACTTAAACCTATAAGTACTTTCCATAAACATATTTAAAACCTGAAGAAAAGTAAGAACGTAATCTTAATTGAAGCCAGTAAAAGTTTTGCTTAAACATTGAAGCCAATAGCTTGTCAGTTGATACGAAATAATGCGCTTTCGGGCAAACTAAAACCAAAGCCAAGGTGTCTTGAAGCGTGGAAGTTACCGTTTATTTATAGAATGCAAGTATCTGCCTGTTAGGCCGATAGGCAAAACGGAAAAATGTTCGACTTGCATATGTCACATGAAACTAGATTTTATTAGGAATTTCGATTCGAAATGTTTAAAAGTTTACAAGTTTTCGCCTTATAAAACGGTTCAAAATAGAGAATTTATCAATTTTCATGTGGTATTAAACCACGTAACCCAACTGCATATGAGTGAAGGTTGCAGTGTAATTTTGCATATAAAAGTAGAAACGTTAGCTTAGGCCAGACTTTATACTCCATTGGTTTTGATATGGAAGGTCAATAGAGTACAGGCCAACCCATGTTAATGAATATATCTATATTCTCCAAAATGCTATCGCTCCAAAAATATTTAAATAAGATCTTAACTGAATATTCAAAACGAAAGACCACATATTGAATCAAATAAAGTAAGGTTGGATGGACTTGTTCGTATTTATAAGACTTGATCACCCAAAGTCCACATACAACCTAACACCTAAGCTTAAAAGAACCAATTATCTTTCTCTTCCTTTCCTTCTCCTTGTCTTCAATGGCTGATCACAAGAACCCTTCTTTAAAGGAAAAATCCTTCACGAGCTTAACCGGTTGCTTGAAAAGTTCATTAGTAATGGATTATAACTCACTAGAAAAGGTCTTTTATAATAGTTCCCCTTTCCAACCAATTTCACCGTCCAATATGGGAAGAATAGTGAATTACCATTACTTAAACCACAATCCGTATTCTCCAATAGTCTCTTCTTCCTCCAATGACGCCGATCCTAAAGAAAGCCTCGGAGATAAAAGTGGCCCAATGGAGGATAACGAAGGAGACAATCATGGTGTTGGTGAAAGCTCCAAGACATCGTCAGTTTTTTCTTCTTCCTTTTATTCTATCGAAATGTGGATTATAAGTCCAAATAATCGTTCAGACACGTCCCTCGTTTTTCTTGTAAATTTTTGTCTGATAAATAGTTTTTTTTCTTTTACGTTTGGGTAATTAGCTAGATCTCCTGAACCAAAACTCAGATGGTTTTTTTTCAAATAGACAAAAAATATTATCACGTAGTTTTTATTTGGGGAAATCTACATTTACTTGAATCAATTTGGTTATTTAAACTTTGAAACCCTCAAGACTAACATGCTTTCTGGGTGATGAGTATGGTTAGGTCAAAACAAGGTAAAGGAAAAGGAAAGAAGAAGGAACGAGAAGCTAGGGTTGCCTTTATGACCAAAAGCGAGATTGATCATCTTGAAGATGGTTATAGATGGAGAAAATACGGACAAAAGGCCGTCAAGAACAGCCCTTATCCAAGGTTTACTTCCTCACTACACTGATCCAGTTTTATTATTCTACTTGCCCATTTATATAGAAGTATATATATATATATATATATATCATAATATGAATGCAAGAGTTATGTATGCGTTTATGTATGCGTTTTCAGGAGTTACTATAGGTGCACAACGCAAAAATGTAACGTGAAGAAACGCGTAGAGAGATCGTTTCAAGATCCTTCGATCGTTATTACAACCTACGAAGGAAAACACAACCATCTGATCCCAATGACTTTGAGAGGTCCAGTGGTCGCTGCCGAACACCTATTAGGTCACCGTGGAAACGGTCTCCTACATAGCTTCCCACGTCAGCATCAAGAGTTTTTTTTTTTGCCAAAATGTGAATTTCATATTAATGAGAAAGGTTTGCAAATTACAAAAGGTATAAACTAGGTCAAGTCAGCCAAGGCAAAAAATAAACAAGGCTAAGCTGACAACCATTATTGATCAAAAATGCTATTCATATCGAAGCCACTGCTGCATCAGAGGCTGAAAGTGTTTAAGCTTCCTTTTTCCCAGGAGGGTGTCTCTGATGAAGCGGTCAATTGTCTTGAAAAGAACTTCCAGAGGCCGAGATACAGCTTCATGCAGCCGTTTATTCCTCTCGGTCCAGAGACTGGAGATTGTGGCTTGAGAAGCCAACAGCTTGAGGGTTCTGCTGACCACTGAGTCATTCAACGCAGCCCATTCACTATACGCAGTCCAAGTGTGGAATCCATGATGAGAATAGCCAAGTCTCCTCAGCACCATAATCCAAATATCCTTACTGAAATTACAGTGTAGGAATAAATGTGTTCTGGTTTCATCAGGTCCATTACAGAGACAGCAAGAAGTTGGGATGTTCATACCCCAGTTTGCTAATCTCGCCCTTGTTGGGAGGCGATCTAGCTGGGCAACCCACGCCGTGAAAGCATGACGCGGAACGTGACCCTTAAACCAGATAGCCCGAGTCCAATCCTGCTCCACCGCTCTTTTCCGATGAATCATTATCCGGTCAATTATCAGTCGATGGGATCTGTACCGTACGAACATTGTCATCATAACTCTACTTATAATAATAGTAAGCATCGAGAAGTTGTGGACTATGGTCTTCTTCAGGACATTGTTCCTTCAGTGCTTTTGAAGCACGAATCTTGAAAGAGAGAGAGATCCAAATCCTTTTATAGGTCATATATATGTATATACTGCTTTATGATTACATTTTTATAAGTAGGTATATTTACGTTACATGTATTATGTATATATCTCAAAGACAACCTTATCAATACTTGGAATATTTTGGTTCGTAAAATAGTTATGCTTTGTGAAGGTGACTATGTTTTAAAATTCTTGATTAATTTGTCGTTAGATCAGGTATACGCAATTGTTCACGTAGAAAAATAAGAGCACCTCTAATGGGATATTTCCCATTGGAGTTCTTAATATATACGTTATATATATTATATATGTATATATTATATATGTATAAGTAATTGTGGGATTCACAATTTTTGTAGAACCCCAAGATAAAGGTTCTTAAAAGAGGGTTTTAAAAATCTTTAAAAACCCTTATATATGGAGTTCCACAATAATTATAGATCTAACAATTACTTACGTATATATAATATATACATACATATATATAATATATATATATTAAGAATCCTAATGGGAAGGACCCCATTGGAGGTGGTCTAAACGTTGTTGACTATTTGTTAAAAGAAAGCGTTCAACTGTTCGTATCCGGGTTTGCTAAAACATACAAATAATATATCTGATCCGACCAATCTTGAACAATGGTCCAACAACTGAGTGAAAATCAGCAGGTTCTTCTTCTTCTCCTTTGAGGTTGGCATCGAGGGTTTAAGTACATATAACAGGGAACTTTGGGCTCAGATTATGACATCTCTTTGATATGTTTAACCAGTTATGTAACTTATGTTTCTACAAATCTGGTATCGTGATATTTTAGAGGTAAGATCATTTCCAATGATTACCTCTATTTTTTACTCCAAATATAGAATACTCTAAAATTAAAGGAGAGTTTTGCTTCAATGATTACCTCTATTTTTTACTCTATAAAGGAATATTCTTATTATATTTTTTCTTAACTTATTTGTTAATTTATTATTTAACCCACAACTTTTGAAATGTTTAAATTTTACCCTTATATTTAATATTTCAGCAATAACACACTACAATTACAATATTATTAAATCTAAATGATTATGTTAAAAAAAATATTATTACAACACTTAAATAAAAAAAATTATATAAATTCATTTTTTAGGCATCATTATCATTAGTGTACTTCTCCCACAAATGATCAATTAAATCATAATAATGTGCTACTATAAGTTTGAATCTTTTGTATTTTTATTATGGATTTTTTTATAGTTTATTAATTATTATGTTGTTGTATTTTTAATTTAATATGAATTATCAGAGCATTTAAAGTATCAGATAATGTAATAATTAATAATATAAATTTAATGATATTTTAAAGTATAAAGCTAGAATATATGATTTTATTCAGGTAGAAAATGAAAACTTGTAAAAGTGAGGGACTATTTTGCAAAGAAAAAGTTCAACTTAAAAAAAGAGAAAATGAATAGTGTTACTCTATATTTGGTGTAATATTGTTCATCCCTCTATATTTGGTGTAACATTTGGTGTACCATTGGAGTGCCTTTTAGTCTATATTTGATGTTTAGAAGGAAAAGTAGAATACCATTGAAGATGATCTAAGAACATCAAAATAGGTAAGATCCAACAAACGATTTTCACAATTAAAAAAAAAGGAAAAAGCTAAGAAATATTTGCTTGAGAGGAGTTTAAGCTACTCATCTGCAGCAGCAGAAGAGTGGTGAGGGAAGCTAGCCTAAACGTCTTCCCATGTCATCTCCCCTCCGCGACTGAACTCACGACAGAGGCTGCCTCATTCAAGCTAACTCGTACTTGGTCTTTGCTGTCTCTTTCTCTGATTGTCACAGATGTATCCGAGTCCACTGTAATTGCAAATGGCACTCCCAGCTCATCTGTTCTCGCAGATCTTTTCCCTATCGATGTACCTGTTTATCCAACCATATACACAAATCTTCACAAGGTTTCACGATTCGAAAATGACTTCCAATATTTTCAGAATTGATTTTACTTACCAGTGATGTCAATCTTATGTGAGATGCTAACCGAAATGAGTTCCTTATAGAGCACTTTGGTTGCTTCCTCGAACTGTTAGTTCTGAACAAGGGGGAAAACCATGCACTTAATGGGAGCTACAAGAGGAGGGAAACGGAACACGTTCAGCTGTTCGTCCCATGCTTTGCTTGGCCTTGTGCTGAAACAATGCTCGTACATACAGTATATGATCTGACCAATCCCGAACGATGGCTCAATCACTGAAGGAGTGAACACTCGCTGGTGCTCTTTCTTCTTCTCTTTTGAGATTCACACCATGTTCTTCTTGATGATCACATTTTTCTTGAGGGTACACACGAAGAACTCCACTTCCCCTTTAGATTCCAGGGCTGCTTTCATCTCCATAGCTTCTTCCTCATTCATCGCCTAACAAAACATTACACAAAGCAAGTTCTTTATTATAAACCAGTACCACCATGAGGTAATGAAGCTTTTTAGTAGAAGGATTATTTTAGACTACCTCCAAAGACTCACCTACATTATTTTGATTTCCCTTGAATGCAAGACCCAGCTCTTTCTTCACAGGATTAATCACAAGTTTCTGAAAGAAAAGAAAAAGTTATAATAACAGGGACGGGCGGTATTCATTCAAATAATTGATACCTCTACTTCTTTAGGTTCTGCATATTTCTCTTCAGCCACAAGAGCAACACCACTTTTTTCCTGCAATACAACATTTGTATCCACAAAATACTTTAGTATGTTCAAACAGTTACCAAGTGAAAACATGAAAAACAAAGTAAAGGGTATATTTCTTACGAAGTGAACATCCAAGTCGTAATCAGACCAATCTGCAATCCCAACACACTCAATCCATCGATATGAACTTTCAATTTTAGCATCCCAGCAATCTGGTGCATAGTGGGCCATTTCATTTGGTAGATGCTTGCGGAAACGCAGCCATTCCTTGTCTATGCCAAGGCTGGTAAGGAACATATAAAATCTTCCCATGAAGTACCCTAGAGTTTCGTTGTTCACAGTTCCCTATTCAAATACATTTTCAGTTGCTGGCATCAATGAGAAATTATAAAAAAGGGATGAAAAGTAGGATTATAAAAACTAACCTTGGCAACAGCTTCACCAATGCAAAGCCTCTTCGCAGATTGGCCAGAAGTTTGTTCGTGTATGAGGAACTCCAACATTGACACATCAGAGAATTTATGATGGGACTTATTCTCAGGATCGACAAAGTGCTTAATTCTGCCAGAGTGAATTTACGAACTCTAAGAAGACCCTGACGAGGAGATATCTGCGAGTAAAGTAAGCTACTTATTAAGACCAATAAGTCACATAGAAACAAAGTTCAGGCTGATAAAAACACATCTAGTATATCAAGTACAGCAGTAAGAATAATCACCTCATTTCTATAGGCTTGACCAATTTGAGCAGCAGCTAAAGGAAGTTTCCTCCCATCATAATAATACAAGTCCTTAAAATTCACAAATATGCCTTGTGCAGTTTCAGGACGCATGTAACTGAGACACAAAAACACAACTGAGGAAAGAGACAATAGAAGCTCAGGAACAATCATTAGAACACTCACCCATGAATCAAACCAGATGGGCCAATGGATGTTTGAAACATCAAGTTAAACGGGTAAGGATCAGAGAGCAGGTTCTTGGTGTCAGGAGCAGTGATCCCATACTCCTTAAGCTTGGCACCAAGCTCCTCAGGGGAGTAATCTTCCATAACAGCAAGAACATCCTTAAATTCAGCAGCTTTTGTTATGTTCCAAATTCTTGAGTTTACACAGTGTAAGCTCAAGGATTTGGAGCTTGACATGTTAGTGCATTGACACAGAGAGAGTATTGATTGACATGGTTCTTTGGAGTATGGCTCTCATGTAACCTGCTTTTGTCCCTCTCTTGGACCAGTAGACCACTTAACTGATTGAATTTTAACTCAAATTGTGTATGAACTCTTTCTTGTTCAGCCATTTCTCTCTTGAGAGACTTACTTCCTGATCAGATTTGTTGTGGTCTGAAATTTGAACTGTAGGTTGTTCCAATTCGAGTATGTTTACCTGAACCTTTAACATAGCTTTGTCTTGAGTAGCTGTAGATTCTCAAGACTCAGCTTGGAAAATTTGTCAAAGAGAGTCTTATACTCTGTCTCGAGGTCTTGATAGAAGTCATCATCCTCCTCTTCATTTTCTGAATTCTCAGTTGACTGAAGTTTCTTCTCATCTTGTTGTCCGATCAATGCCAAAAAATTAAGTAGTAGTTCCTCGCCATCACTGTCGCTTTCAGATTATGTGTCACTAAAGCATGCAAGTGATTGTCCTTCTTCAAATTACTTAGACACTCACTTCTTGTATGTCCGTTACCATTGCATTCAGTACACCTAATGTAACACCCCCGAACCGTTCTAGGTATAGGTCGAACCATCAGCCATGAATCAAACAAGAACATGACCGACGGACCGACTTTCTACCATGGTTCAGAAGCGCTACATGACGGGGTAGGAACAATCCAGCCATGGTCACAAAGAGTGCAATTCGTGACTTGGCCAGACCGTCCACTAACACGTCCCGTCAGATCATGGCTTAAGACTTCTCAACCAGTACCCCAAACTGACGTTGTGTTAGCTTGGACAAAGCTAATATCAGATACAACAAGGCATTTACATAAAACATCGATTTATTTATTTTATATCATATCTGGTTCACAACACACAAAATATCGTACAAGTAGTGGCATGCGAAGCGAGCAAAAGATACATACTTATAGTCTGAAAATGTCGCAAGCAAAAAGATGAAAATCTACACCAGCCGGCCTCACTTCCCGCAACCTCTACGAACTCTACTGGTCATCTGAAAACAACAAAAAGTGAGGTGTGAGTAATCTAGCATTACTCAGTGAGTTACAATCCCCAACTAACAAATATAACCCCTCGCTATCCCACCCCAAACAATCTAAAGCGAGAAGTTCACCTAAGAGCATAAATCAGTAGTAATAATATAGGCAAATCAGAAATCCGCAGCAAAAAATAATAGCGATCAAATTATCGATACTATAAGATAACTGCTAAAGCTTGCAAATCGATCTCAACTTAAACCAGAGTTTACCAATCCCTTTATACTAAATAATATATATATATATATATATCACTTGGGCCCTGGTGACATTAGGTTCCTCCTTTACTATCGGCAACATCCTAACTTCCTACCACAGAGGCCAGAAGAAGGAACTTTCAACCGACCGGCGGCCCACAGTCATTCGGGTCACCGCGCGACAACCCACATGTCCTTCGGGTCACTGCCACATTACACCGTCGTGTAATGACTCAGCCATAGGCCATGACCCCGTCTCTCTGAGTGTTCCCAATCCAGCGAATAAGGGGCTTCCTTGAACCCGCTGGGTACGAGGTCTGAAGGAACACTAACTCACCCCTATATATGCCTAGCATTGTCGGTTACACGATGCTGTCGGCCAATATAACAAATACTAAACTTGGTAATATAACCAAGGTTTCCAGCAATAATCAAAACCAACACAATCAATCATATTCTAGAATCTAGCATAAAGTCTAATTCCAGAATACCTAACTATCCATAACCTAGCGATATCATCTAATCATTCAGCGTTCTTTAACCAATCAACTTAACGATTAGCATGCTACTACGATTCTCAAGCAATAACTAAGCATGCTATTAACTAATCAACCTAACCATTATTATTAACTAATCAAACCATTACTCAGTTTAGACCTGGCCTCCTGCCATGATCCAACTTCCAAGTAACGGGCACCTGCATGAAAACAGCTTAGCAATCAATTGATTATAACTCACTGTTTTTGGTTGACTCGTGGCCTTAACCCCGGACCCTTCTTCTGCAATCCAAACCCTTTCTTGACCTTCCCAAGTAGATCCACGTCCGTACTGATCTTGAGTTGGGTAGAACCTTCTTCAGATGTAGATTTCTCTCTCACGTTTTTCACTGGTTTCAGGTTTTCTGGATGTGTTGAAATGAGCTGGGGTTGTGGGCTATTTATAGGAAGCAGCAACAAAACAGAAGAAAGATGTGTGGCAGCCCGTGTGTCGGTTCGCATGGCTCCGGACGCATGCGTCGCGGCACCTCGTGCTTCTGTGTCACTTCGCATGTTGCGATCGCATGTGCATCAACACCTCGTGCTTCCCTTGCCACCTACCATGCCAGGCAGTTGACACCATGTCCTTATCTCATAGATAAGGCCACCTCGAGCTTCTCGGTGCATTCGACTGATTTCGATCCTTCCGGCGAATTTTTGATCCGTGATTAATCTCAAATATTTTTCTCCAGATGATGATCTGAATATATTTAATAAACTCCAGATGATGTCTGAACTTGATAGAAAATATTTCCCGAGCCTTCGGCTTCCTCGAGAAATTTATAATATCGAAATTAGGATTTTTCTTTAGTCTCGGTTTTCCCGTCGTGCTTTGATCCCGTCGTGCTTACTTCCCGTCCTGCTTAATTCCCGTCATGCTTCCGACTTATAATGTCTTCAGAATAATATTTTACTGATTTGACGATTTTCCGAGAAAACTTCGTGGTTAAGAAACGTCGGGTTTCAAGAACGTCGAGCTTCTAAAACGTCCTTCTGATCAATCTAACACTTTTTCGAACCATGGTCGAGCAGCTTAATCGACTCATGGTTCTCTCACGATCAATTCTTCGACTTTATCGACCATTTCACACATTGAACTTCCCGATCGCCCGCAACCTGACCACCAACAAATACTCGACCATAATAATTTTTTTTTATACGGGTTTTTACACCTAAGCTCTTTTCTCTTTTCTACAAGGCATTCCTTGTGATTATGGCCAAAGCCTTCACATTTTTTACACTGTAAATTCTTCTCCCACTTTCCCTTAGATGATGCAGACCTAGAACCTTGATTGCTGAAGCGCTCTGAGTCATTCCTGAAAAACTGATTACTTGACCTGCTCCCACCTTTCTCAACATGTTTGAGCATTTTGTTGAAATTCCTAGCCATAAGACTCATATTGTCTTCTAACCTTTTAATACTATCTTCTTCTTTGAACTGAACTGAGAACAATATTCCCTCTGAATCTTTTGATAACTCATCAGCTTCTTCCAGATCATGTACTTTCAATCTCCCAGCCAGTTGATCAAACTTCATATCATCAGTGTTCATGGCTATCTGAAGGGCTGGCTTGTAAGCTTCAAATCGTAGAGGTAAGCACCTTAGCAACTTCTTTACGAACTTCTTATCTTTATACTTCATACCAAGGATAATAGCTTCGTTGGTGATTGAACTGATCTTAGACACAAAGCTAACAATGGATTCATCATCTTCCATTCGCAGGTTCTCAAATCTTGAAGCTAAGTGATCAGTTCTGGTTCTTCTCACACTTGTGTCACGCGAAGTGATTAACAAGAATATCCCATGTCTCCTTTACTGATTCACGGCTTTGAATAATCTTGAACTGGTCCATGTTAACGATTGCAGGCACAACGGACCTGCAAAAACTGTGGATCAGCTTGGGAGGTTAATAGATAAGAGAATGAGGAATATGATCTCCTCTATGAAGTACCATTCGAAGCCGAAGCTACGTGGGTTAATGAAGAGATGGTTTACTGCACATTCTTAGATTATTATTTTTGTGAGTAGCTCTATATGAACTCATTCTTTGTACATACAAAATTTTCTTACGATAATCAATAAATTTAACATTTCATCAAAAAAAAATTTGAAATAAATCTAATTGCTTATTTATTTATGTAATTTACTTTCATTGTTCACACGTTATTAGAAGTTTTTGATGTTCTGTTTTTGGTTAATTTTTAATTTTTAGTTTAATATCATAATTCATATTAGAAAATGTAATATTTATTAATTTTTATTTATTATATATCTAATAGCAATGTTTATTATTAGATTATGACCTGAACTTTAAAGCGCGAGATGAATTTTATTCAAAAACTATTTACTCAAAACTAGAAATCTTATACCTATGTAGCATTTTTATTAAAAAAAATTATTTTTAAAGTATATGTAATAATAGTTCATACTATAAGATAGTTCATATTATATAACATGCCTCGTATCAATTGTACATATATTTAAAACTTTAAATTATAGTACTTTTTTAGAAAGAATTTGATACGGGTAAATTTTATTTTTATTAATTTTTTGTCAGCATTATTATATAAGTTTACTATTATAATTATATTCTTCATACTTGATAAATATATTAAATTATTTTTAATATTTGAATTTAAATATGTAAATTAACTTATCAAATTGTTTATTAGTTTATATATCGTACTTTAATATTGTTTTAATAAGTTAAAGTATGTTGTAAATTTCATGAATATATTTTATTCTGTTATTTTATTATTTATAAAATATTTAATAAATGGATTAAGTTAGTTTATATTTATTACTTAATTTAATTACGATTATAAATTATGTATGTATAAATATTATAGAAATTTTTTTTCTTATAATATAAAAGAAAATGAATTATTAATTGTTTTAAATTATATTTTATATTAATTATGACTGTTATTATTTAAAAGTAGATATTAAAATAAATGTATATTTACATTTTAAATAAAATATCTTAGGAAAATCTAATCTTAGGAAAAGATACTTTAAAATAACTTTTAGATATCTTATTTGAAAATATTAAAATAATTGATTAGATATATTCTATATTTAATAATAACTAATTTTTTTATTCAAAATAATAAAAATTAAATAAATGAAATGGTCCAATTTAAACTCTTTGTGAATAGATAAATATTGCTCTTGCTTTAATAGTATTGATATGTATGATTTGACAAGAGTTTATTTGGCACGTAAATAATTGAAAACACTTGCATAATGTTTGGTTGATATCATGAAAAGTTATTAAAATATGGAAAATATTTTTATGAGAAAAGTTCATACATATGTCCATATAATTCTAAAAATATACAATTAAGAAGTTAGCAGTTTGGTTTGTATTAAAAAAAAAATTATGAAAGCAGTTTAAAAAAAATATATTGTCCAAGTGCTAAGATTTTGTGTAGAATTAAATATTACCTAATTTAAAACAGTATTATATTTAATATAAAATAAAATTATTTGAGTATTAAACTCTATGTTAATGATATTTTCTGGTGCATGCTTATATATTTCCTAAAGAATCAGTAGTATTTTCTTTAGTTTGAAATCTTTAAATGTAGTAAATAAATCACAAGAAACATGATATAGATATGAAATGGTCCATGTTTAATTATAAAATAATTAACATGAGGCATTCTGAATTTGGTTTATAATATAGATAAATTAATATGTATAGCATATTTACGTGTTTAGATATTATGTAAGACGTTGGTTTAGAGAAAAAGAGAGATCTATTAGTTGATGATATACTGATATATTGTTTGTATTTAATTTATGAAACACATAATGCATAACCTAGAAGATTCATATGCCAATTTTGAATAAAAATGTATGCCATGTACTAAAAACACTGTTTTAGTTTTTTTTTTTTTTTTTTTTTTTT